GTGTCGGGGGCGGGGTTATAGAGGCGTCGTTCCGTGTGTGACACCTGTCATGTTCAGGTTACTGGAGGAAGCAGCTGGATCACATATGCGCTCACCTGAGGAGCTATGCCCAGAACAACGCCCCCTTCAGGGCGCTGCTGGGAGAGCCTCGTCTGGGCCGGGTAAATCACACCTTACACGCCCTTCACCTGTCCAGCAGTGACATCGCCGTGTTAAATCAGAAGGTGGTTTTACATGAGCAGGTGCAGGCAGGTCACTTCCTGTGGTGTTTCCTTGCAGATGGTCTCTGCGGTGATTCAGGAGGATCGCCGTGAGGTCAGTCTGACCGTCAGCTTTGCAGCAGCCGAGCTTCAAGAAAAACAGGTGTGTTTGGAACAGGTGGGCTGAGCGTAGAACATCGTGGTTATTTAACGAGTTTAACGAGTGGGGTGTGGTCTCAGGTGGGTGCTGACGATGACATGGGATCTCCAGGTGGAGGATTTGAGCTCGCCAGCTGGACCAAGACTCTGAGCAGCGTTGCAGAGCAAACAGGGTGGACAGGTGAGAGCCCATGTGACACACAGACATTCAGCTCAACATTTCAGCCAATTAGATTCCTCGGATTTCACCAAAACCGACCTCAGACTTAGACCTGTGTTGGTCCGATTAACCAGCAGGCATGTTATTGGTCAGATACCTGCTGGGGAGTGCTCTGGTGTTGGCCAGTCAGAACAGAGTAGAGTGTGAAAGGGGCGGGACCTCTTTATGTTGTATCATTACACCTGAGCTGAGCTGATAATCAGTACGTCAGTTAGCAACACGAGGAAAGACGAGGAGGAAAAAGACCCCCCCCCCCCAGACTGAGCTCCAACAGGGAGATCCACCTCAGCACAGGAATCATCACATTTCACAACATGGAAGACGTGAGCTTGGAGGGGGGGTGAGTGTAGGTCTGTGTCAGTGTACGTGTGTGTGTGCGCCATGTTCAATCGAAGAAAGTGTGATTGGTTTTTCATTTACATCAGCCAATCAGAAGCTGCTGATCAATCTGTGCTTTTATTTTGGTGTCGGACAGGAAGTGACCAGCTCTCGGCTCCACCCTCCAAACCTTACCTGACGCCCAAACCGCTGGTGAGAAATTCCGCCCACAGCTGAGTTCAGTTCCTCGCTGATTGTACCTGTTCATGCTCCTCTCTGATTGGCTGTCTGGCTGCAGGTGAAGGACGTTCAGCTGCTGACGGAGCTGGGTCCGGGTCGAGGTGAGGTCGGCGTCATCCAGCAGCTCCTGGACCAGGTACCATCCTCTGCGTGCACCAACAGCCTGCTCAGGGTCACCTGACGTGCTTTACATTTGTGTGTGCGGTTGTTCGCCAGGGGGCGGACCCTTCCTGCTGCCGGAGCGATGGCCTACACGCCTTGGCTGTTGCCGTGGTAAATGGTCACCATGACGTCCTACCTGTTTTGGTGCAGCGAGGCGCCGACGTCGACCAACAGTCTGGACGGTAAGACCAGGTTTTTATTTTTTATTTTTTTACAGCTAGAGCAAGGTGACACGTGATCCCACAGGTGTGTCTACTGAGGGCCCGCCCCCAGTACCAGAGCAGCAACCCCAAACCGGAAACTGCTGGCGAGGGTAAACGTAAATTCAGTAAGATCATAATTCACGTCGGCAGTAATGACACCCGGTTACGCCAATCGGAGGTCACTAAAATCAATATTGAATCGGTGTGCAACTTTGTGGGACTCTGTAGTTTTCTCTGGTCCCCTCCCCAATCAGACCAGGAGCGACATGTTTAGCTGCATGTTCTCCTTAAACTGCTGGCTGTCTGAGTGGTGTCCCAGAAACGATGTGGGCTTCATAGATAATTGGCAAACCTTCTGGAGGAAACCTGGTCTTGTTAGGAGAGACGGCATCCATCCCACTTTGGATGGAGCAGCTCTCATTTCTAGAAATATGGACAAATTTATTAAACCCCCCAAAATATGACTATCCAGAGTTGGGACCAGGAAGCAGAGTTGCAGTCTTACACGCCTCTCTGCAGCTTCTCTCCTCCTGCTACCCCCCCAAAAACCCATCTCCATAGAGACTGTGTCAGCTCCCAAACAGACAAAGAACAAACTAAAAACCAGCAACAAACAACTTAAACATAAACAATTACAAAGAAAGAACAATACAGTATCTACATCTGAACCAAAGAGTAACACAGTGAAATGTGGATTATTAAATATTAGGTCTCTCTCCTCCAAGTCTCTGTTAGTACATGACTTAATAATTGATCAACAAATTGATTTATTATCAGCTGATTTCATGCATGATTCTGATTGGCTGACGGTTCTCAGACTCGTGGATTGAGCAGATCACCTTCAAGGTCTTCATTCATCATAACAACATCCCATAGACTCCGCCCACTTCACTGTACTTACCTGAAACTTGCCCGCACACTGGTTGCTTCAGATTCTGGATGAGGTGCTGATGGAGCCCTCTGATTGGTCCTTGTAGCTACTAGCTTCCATTATTTAGACCCTGTGATGCTCATGTGTGGTGACACTCCTCCTCCTCCTCAGGATGAAGAACACTGCTCTGCATGAAGCTGCAGCACTGGGGTCTGCAGGTGTGCCGTGTGCTGAGGTCCTGCTCAGGTGAGTCTGAGTTAAATGCTGCATTCAGTGTCTCTGTGTAAACACGGCCGCCTGCAGGTGTGTTTCAGAGTCAAAGCTTCTTAGATCTTGAACGAGAGACGGTTGGTGTGGCAACAGTGTGCCGGGTCTGACTGAGATTGAAAGTTCCAAGTTGCTACTGAATGCAGCACAGTACCTGCAGTTGTTGCTCCTCCCACTTGTCATAATGACATCATCCTCTCTGTCCCTGGTTTCAGCTGTAAGGCCAACGTGAGGCGGAGGAACGCTGCGGGTCAGACGGCGTATGATGTGGCGGCGAGCTTGGGCTGCAGCAGCATGGCGTCTCTGCTGGCGTCTCAGACTGGACTGGGCAAACTGGGAATCATGAACTCACGATGAAGCTGATTTTTTTCCTGATTGGTCTGAACGTGAAGTGATGTGTACAGCTCAGAAAGTGACATCGCTTCCTGTCAGCGCAGACATGCAGATTACAGATTTTGGACCCTTTCAGTCCGGCTTCCACTGAGACCGGATCTCTGGGATCTGTTGGTGGGTTCTGATGCAGGAATTGTTCTGTGATCGTTTTGCTTTGTCTCAGCGCATCCTTCGATAGCATTGACCATAAAAACGCTAACAAGCTAACAGGTTTTGGCGCATATATCTGGCTCCGGCTTACCTGGTTTTCTTCCTACTTATCAGACAGGAGCTTTACTGTTAGGACTGACAGGTTCACCTCTAACGTCGCCCCCCAACCTGTGGGGTTCCACAGGGTTCAGTTTTGGGTCCATTATTATTTTCATGCTTCCATTAGCTGCATTATTCAGTCATTTATCATTTCTATGCCGATGACATTCAGCTGCATGTGTCAGCCTGCTCAGCTGGAGTCGCTGTCCACCCTAGTCCAGTGCTTAACTCAGGTTTCTGATTGGCTTTCTAACAACTACCTTGTTTTAAACACAAACCAGACCGAGACAACGATCGTAACTCATCCTGGACTACAATCTGAAGTCAGTCAGGTTCTTGCTTCTTTCTGTTAAGTCAAATATCTGATTCGTCTCTGGGCCTCGACTCTGTAAAATCTCTGTCTCGTTCCTGTTTCTTTCATTTAAGGAACATTTCTAAACGGCGACATATGGTCTCCTCAGCTGATCTGGAAAAGTGTTCATGCATTTGTGTCGTTGTTTAGATTATTGTCACGTCCTGTTTACCAGCTTGGACAGATCTTCTCTTTCTTGCCTCCAAGCTGTACAAAAGCTGTTTCAGTTTAAACAAGCCTTCTGTTGATCAACGCCTTGAACATTTTTTATTTACATTTAACTTTGATATTGTTTATATTGTCTATTTTATTACTAACGTTCTGTTTATCTTAACCTTCGCGTACAGCGCTTTGTGACTGTCTACGAAAAGCGCTTAATAAATAAACTTTACTTACGTGTCGAGGTGTCTGCCAAGGTTCAAGTAATAAAATATTTCGGGATGAGACTTCTCTTTATTTTAGAGTCTGATTTAACAGCAACGCCCATAAAACAGAAAAACAAGTACCTGATCTTGTTTATGGTGCGCTGCTTCCTGTTCCTCCAAAATAAACTTCAAAACACCTGAAAGCAGCAAGTAAAGAGTTCACGGAGGTCAGAGGTCATCAGGATGTTCATTTTCTCTCAGACTTTAATTCAAAAAAAAAAAAAAAAAAAAAAAAAAAGGGATAGCTCAGTAGGTAGAGTGGTGGCCCCATGATCGGAAGGTCGGGGGTTCAACTCCACTGAACGGCTACCCTGAGGTACCCCTGAGCAAGGTGCCGTCCCTACACACTGCTCCCCGGGCGCTGCATTGGTGGCTGCCCACTGCTTCACTGGGTGAATGGGTTCAATGCAGAGGAACTATTTCCCTATGGGGACTAACACATACACATTAAAAAAAATCAGACCTCTGGACAGTCGCCCCCAGCTGGAAATTACAGAATGGTTTAAGGTTTGAGACCTTTCTGTGTACTGCTGCTCCTGCAGGGGGCGACCCGGCGCTTCAGACTGACCTTCATCAGGTACAAGGACAGTCCACACTCATCCTCCACGTATGTTTCAGTCACAGCTTACTGTCTAACAGTCTGACAAAGCTAACCATGAACACCACCCATACAACATTTACTGAACACCTGCACAGGTGACACTGGCAGCATGATTCTACAACCACAGACGGTGAAACGGGCTGGTGTGTTGGTAAAGTTTAGTCCTTGTCTAATGAGGCATTGCTGTGTTCTTGTGGTCCTGGACCTCAGGTGGTTCCTCGCCCGGGGGATCGTACCTGAGCCTCCACATGTCCCTGTCAGCCTCAGCAGAGGGAGGGCGGAGCCTTCATCCCCGGGGTTGTGCATCTCATCCGGCCTGTGACCTGTGTGAAGCAGGCTGCTCTGGTTCATGGCCGGTCACTAACAGATAAGACTGAATGACTTCTTCACCTCTCGATATCTGGAGTTTCTTCTGGTGACACAAACTTGGATAAACGTGAAGAGTCGAGACGGCTCTCTGAGCCCTCCAGACTGTGACTGCCTCGGCTCAGACAGCCAGCCGGGTGGAGGTTAGCTACTGTTGATAAAAACTGCTCCATCCGCTGTGTGTACTACTGAGGTTTCTACTGCCTGAGGTTTCTTCCTGTTAAAGGGGAGTTTTTCCTTCCCACTGTCACCAAAGTGCTGCTCATAGGGGGTCATATGATTGTTGGGTTTTGTTATTATTAACTAGTTACACTGCATCAACAACATAAACACAATGGCAAATACCCTGCACACAATCACGTGTCAGAGTTAAAGTGTCCAGAAATGTTTCCTGCAGCTCCCCCTGCTGGTGGTTCTGGAAATAAACCAGTTGTCACCTTCACCTCTGACACCAGGCTGTCTGACCCCGATGAACTGAGCATGTGCAGGATAGAGGTGTTCACATCTTTCTGCATGGGGGGGGTTTGCCAAACAAAGTGCCTCGTAATTAATATGAATGTGATATGTATGTAATCCTCCAGTGAGAAAAAGCCTCTTTAAGTAAAATGGATTTAAAGGTAAACTTACAGTAAAGCACGTTATGATTATCTTACATTAAGATGCCAAATTAGATTTAGATTATCTTACGACTGACGTCCAGTGTGCCGGCTCAGACCGAACGATGAGAGCATGACTTCGCTTCAGTAATTCTTTGTTTGTGCACATGTATAAATGCTGGTAAAACCAGGAGCTCATCGTGGATTACAGGAGAGGAGGCCACGCCCCATCCACATCGTGGAGCAGAAGTGGAGAGAGTCAGCTGATTCAGATTCCTGGGCATCAACATCAGCGAGGATCTGAGCTGGTCACACCATGTTGGTGTCATCACAAGAGCAGCAAGACAGCGGCTCTTCTTCCTGCGGCGCCTGAGAAGGTTCAGCATGAACCCCAGAATACGAACAACCTATCGATGCACCATTAAAAGTATTCTGACTGGCTGCATCACCGCCTGGTACAGCAGCTGTAATGCTCTGCAGGGGGCGGTGAGATCAGCACTGCGGATCACCAGGACTGAACTGGCAGCCCTGCAGGATCTGTGCAGACAGCGCTGCATGAGGAAGACGCAGCAGATCCCGGCCACAGACTTTTCACACGTCCAGCAGGAGCATCCAGACCCGCACTACCAGATGCAAAGACAGTTTTTACCCACAAGCCATCAGGCTTTTGAACTGCTGACAGTATACACACCATTAAACACTCACTACGATTACAGGACTGTCACTTCAACTAATGCCACTTACATGCTCATTGCACAAGTTTTGCACAGCCTGTAAAAACCAACTTGTCATCAATTCTCTAAATATTGAATCCTTTTCTCTTTTTCATTGTTTTTTCTGCTATTTTCTGCACACTCTCCATATGCTCATGTAAAGCTGAGGAGCACGAGCCAAAGAATTTCATTATGGGTAGATGTGGCTGCTCTGTTTATCTGTACATGACAGTAACACTTGAAACTTGGCGCTCTAACTGAAGCGCTGTTAACGTCTGCGTGCACACCGCGTGGCGTGAGAGCGCACCTGGATTTGAAATGTGCAGAGTAACAGTTCCTGCCTGTCCTGCTCGCTCCCAGCAGCGTGCTGATGGCAGACTGCAGCGAGTGGTTAGGATGGAGGGCGATCGAGTGTAAAGCAGGCGAGAGAGCAGGTGGAGCTTCAGCACGTTGGTTTTAATACCTCAGAAACACAAACAGCAGCACACACACAGTCCCAGATGTTCCTCACAGCACTGACAGCTGCACACCTGCCTCAGGTGCAGGTCAGCTGCGGACGGGGCTCAGCGCCGCAGTCGCAGAAAGAAGGCGTGGCGGCACTCTGCGCTGTCCACGGGGTAATATTTATCATAAAAGTCCAGGATGTACTCCTCGGCCTTGAAACCGAACTTCTGGTACAGCAGCATGGCGGGGTTGCTGGCCGACACGTGCAGCGTGACGTCCTTCCCCATACACGTCTGAAACACGCACAAACACACACACGTTAGGATGGTCGCAGCAGCACGGACGCCCCGACCCGCCCACCTGCAGTCGCACCTGGATCAGGTGGTAAATCATGAAGGTCCCGATGCCGGCCCGCCTCCACTCGGGGTGGACGAGCAGGAAGGAGATGTAGGCCTCGTTGTACTTCACGTCCGGCACCATGAAGCCGAAGCCCACCACCACCTTCTTGTAAAGGACGACCACGCTGAAGTCAGGGTACTGCAGGCACTCGGATAGATCCACACCTGTGGGAGGAGCAGACGGAGGTCTGAGCCACGGCCGGACGGCGCCACGGGGCGTAACGGGCAAGCGTGCTACCTGGCCAGAAGCTGTCGTGACACATGGCGTTGACGGAGGGGATGTGGTTTGGACGGACGTAGCAGTAGTCGATTGGAGCGTCGGGTTCAGGTGCCCAGCCCGGCTCCTTCCTGTGCGGGTACGCTCGGATCTCGGCCAGCAGCCGGAGCTTCGGCGGACGGCTCTCGTAGTCCCGCCTAGACAAAAGAAAAGAAAGATGGAGAACGCGGATGTGGACCTCCATAGGGCTGTTCCATATAACGATATAAAAACATCTTTCATTTTACGCTATCGTTTGTTTCGTGGTGTCGCAAAATAAACTGTTTGCGGTAATATTTTTCATGTTCTGATGTCCCTGTAGTTATTATTCATTTCTTAAAGTTCTTTCTCTTAGATTTAATATAAACACTACGGACGCACAAGCGCCTGGTTTTATGCGTCGTCGTTAGCAACAACAATGGTAAAACCATTGCATGTCCGCTTGTTTATGTTCCACATAAACCTTTCACAATAAAGCTCAAGATCCTGTTGAGACTTTTCAAAGTAAACTGAATCACATGAAAGATGCAGAGTGTTTACGGATGCTAAAAAATAAAGCTTAGACTCAAACGTTAGAACAGGCTTTTCCCCGCAGCACGCCGTGTAATAAATACTCAAAGAAAACGGCGCCGTTACAGCTTATGTCTAAAAACGTGTCGTTTCATGCATCGTTAAAAACTTACAGAACTTACAGAAAATGTTACATTTGTGATTTATATCGTTATCGGACGATAGCTGTCTTATATCGGGACGTGAGATTCTGGTCATATCGCACAGCCCTAAACCTCCACCTCGCAGGAAGCTCAGAGGACTCTCCGACCACAGGTGTGGCTCTGACCCGGAGGTTTACCTGATGTAGGGTTTGAGGAGGCGGGAGGTGTACGGGCTCCTGATGGTCTGCTCCAGGCTTCCTTCGGGTCCCATCAGACGATGCCAGAAGGACACGGACGGCTGCTGGACGCCTCGCCTGCCGGAGACGCCCGTCTGTAAAACATGGACAGGTGAAGCGAACAGTGTGAACGCTGCATCAGCTGCAGTGATTGGTGCACGCGGGCGCGTCACGTGGACGGACAGGAAGTGTGTGCGTTACCTGGAAGCGATCGAGAATCCGCAGCTCCTGGCTGCTGGTACAGTACTTCCCTTTCACACCGCCGCCGATTTGTGCTCCCGCCTCCTGGGCGCCATAGATCCCTCCCACTAGGCTGAGGGTGGCGCTGACCACTCGGTCAATGTCCAGCAGGGGGTGCCTCCTCTGTCGTTTTATCTGGCGAACCAGCAACTTCCTGTGGAGGCGTTTAGCCTGCGGCGTGACGGCCAACGCGAGCGGGCAAGCGTCCAGCCTTCGCAGCAGCATCCTCTCCTCGTACAGACTGAGAGCGGCGTAGCGAGGGCTCTGGGCGTTGCCGGCAGCGTTCTCCGGATGAGTCGTCCTTCTGCGCTCAGGTCCCCCGCCACCGCCGCCTGCGGACAGCGGGGTGTCTTGACTTTGTCCTACGGGTTCTTCCAAGTCGTGGTCACGGCCTTCGTCTTCCTCGCTCTCTGCTTCACGCTTGATGTGAGGCGGTGGTGGGCGGAGCTTCTTGCGGGTGCCCAGGTTGGCACTGGCAGGCGGGATGTACTCTGTTCCCGGGTCGATCATCCCCTCCGCCTCCATCTCCTCATCATCTGAGTTGGAGGAAGCAGAACACGCCATCAGCGCTTACATCACATAAAACCACATGACCCTGCACCAATCAGGTGTTACCTCACCGTGGAACAACGCCTGTGGCGGCATGGCATCAGGGATAAGGTCTGCCTCCGACAGCAGGCTGGGCGTCGCCGAATGCGAGGCTGGCGTTCCCGGGGCAGAAAAGTCAGGTGAAGGCGATGGCGTCGGGCTGGTGAGTGGCGTTCTGTCTGAGGAGCTGAGCGAAGAGAAGTCAATGACCTCGCCCTTCTCCAGGACCAGATCTGGGCGCCGCCCACCACCTGCACCACGGCCTCCACCCAGTTTGACAGGCGTGGAGGCAGCGCTATGGTCCGTGTATCCGCCCGCCGCCTCCTTCTGGGCCCGCCGGATTTCTTTGGCCTCCTGAGTGCGCGAGCGTTTCTCCTTCAGCTGCATGGCGTTCTCCACGGGGTTCCGAGCTCCGCGTTTGCGCAGACCCTCCACGGTGATAATCGGGTCCAGCACGGGTTTGGACGCTGTGGGTAAATGGCGTCCAAGGTCAGAGGTCAACAGACACCATCCAGTTGGGAGCCAGCGTTCGATCGCGGCTTACCTTTAGTCTTTGTCACGGATTTGTCCACTTCTGGTCGCAGGGTCGGAGGTCGGTTGTGGACCAGCTTCCACCAGCCGGGCTCACCGAACTCCTGCGCTCCGGAGCGGAAGAAGGCGGGGCTTCCGACCGACAGGCAGCCCGCTACCGTGCTCCACCAGGTGGACGTCTTCTTCCTGCAAAGAAGAGCGCAACACGAACGTGAGCGCCGGCACGTTAACGATGGAGAGCAAAACTTTATTGTCCGTCTGCGACCGACCTCGAGCCCAGCAGGAAGTTCCAGTGTCGACCAATGAAAGCGCAGATGTCCTCTTTCCACCTGAAATAGCCCTGCCGGCCCGTCCCCTCCAGAGACAGGTTGTACATGGCCAACATCACCACCTGTCGCAGGAAGAAGCCGCCGTCAGCACGCCGCATATCTGAGGTGTGTGTCTGTGTGTGTGGGTGGGGCTAAAGTCCTACCTGCTGCCAGGTGAGCCTCATCCTCTCAAAGCTCTCCTTGCCATCTTCGGAGCAGTCGGAGCAGACGAATTTGAAGAAGTTGTCTCCCTTCAGGTAGCTCGGCTGCTCGCCGCGGAGCTGAGCTGGGGACGATCACAGGTACAGAGTCAGCTGCTGCCGCACACCTGCTGGGGGTCTCCTAGGTTACCACCAGTGCCTGCTCTCAACCGATGAAGCTGCAGACGAGCTGGACTAACAGCTTCCTGTCTGGCTCCACCCACACCACATCAGACCTCACCTTTACTCTCATACCTGCTTACAGCACGGTCAGAGGTCACATTAGGGCTCAAATCATGTGATTGTCCATCGCGTCGTGTGACACTTAACCGAGAGCACGCTCACGCCGTGTTCTGGAGCTGGGCTAAACGGCGTTCGTGCACACGCGAGGAGGAGCTCGTGCCTGAAGGTGGCGCCATGTGGAGGAAGCTACCGCGCGCAGAAGTGCAGATCTCGCTTCAGAGTTCAGCGGGTACGACCGTTGATTCGCGTGACAGCTTTATTGAGCGCCATGTGAGACGGACCGGCCGGCACGCGGTGGGAGCACGAACGCAGCGGAGCGTCTGGATCCCTTTTGTTCCCGCCATAACGCTCTCAGCATATCGTCCGACCCTGTAGCTACAACTGTGGTGTCGCCGGGAACCCACAGACTTGATTGCGTTGGGTTGTTATAGCAACAAGGCCGAGCATCCTGTGACATCACTTGTGCGCGACATGAACGAGAACAAAGCAGGACGCCGAGGCGATGGCGTGCCTCCTGCTCGGTCCGCGGCGTTTTGTCAGACTCGTGGGCCGCAGGTTTCAATTTTCCCGAAAGACTCGCTCTCATGACTCACAGAATGACACACCTGACCAGCCAATCGGTGGCATGCGGTCTGCTGATGTCACATTTTCAGATTGCTCGGCAGCAGGTAGCGCCACCTACTGGAGAAGGTAGTGACATCAGTCACGTCAGAAATGGAGCGCTGCGATTGGCCAGCTCACCTGCGGGGATCCACTTGTGGCAGCGGTCGCAGTAGAAGGACATGTCCTCGCAGGCCCACCCCCCGTCGGTGTCCTCACCCACGTCACTGGTCAGGGAGTCGCCGCTCTGGTCATGTGACAGGTCCACAGAGCCCTGGTCCTCCGACTCAACAATCAGCAGCGTCTCGCCCTCCACCTCCCCCTCTTCCAGACCGTCCGACGCCGACGTGCAGGCTGCCTCGTCCTCCCCTCCCACCAGCTGCTCGCCACTGCTGTCCATCATCCTGCTTCAGGTACGGCAGACCTGGGCAGGTGACCGCTGCAATCTACGCAAGAGCAGAAACATTACAGGTGACCCAGTCGTAAGGAGACTCGGGAACGCGATAGCGTAGGTCCACAACAGTGTTTACCTTTTCTCAGGTGTCCTGTGGGTGGAGCCTGGCCTCCCTGCGGCGTCTCTCCTCCTCCAGCTGTCGGGTCAGCAGCCGCTGCTCCTCCAGCATCCGCAGGTTCTCTTTCCTGCGCTCGAGCCGTT